TATACAGGGCCATAGCAGGTACCAGGAGAGGAATATGTATTTCTTCACTTACTAATAACCGAATTATATGAACATATTTAGATACCCCTTTTTATGTATAGAGAGAACAACAACCCACAACCAATTGCTTAAGCATATAGGAGAAACAACACGGGCATCGAGGTAAATGAAACTGAGCCAAATAATAACGCGTAACGGATTATGCACGTCGCATCTCAGACATGAACGGACAAGTCTCAGAGTGTCTGCTAAAAGTGTCTGTGTTTTGGCCCCACGATGAATGTTGTTGTGTCTGTATTAGGTGTCTGTTTTGGCCTGGTACATTCAAGTCTAACTGGAAGGCCAGAACAGACACCCGTGTCTGTTTATAAAATATTGTGGTGGTCCTACATGATAGATAGTAAAAATGTGCGTGGCGCTTAATGTGTTAAAGCAGTGCAATCATTTTGAAATTTTTATCATTTACTTATTATGCTTCATTAAGTACTTATACAAAATTTTATCAAAATAAAACCATTTAAACTGGGTGTTCGGATTTATATGTCACTTAGTATATTATTAAAAACTCAGAACTCGCCAGCAGTAAATCGTTCTCGTCGCTCGACATTAGCACCGAACTTGCGCGCATTTCAATACTATCCAACAACAAACGTCAACGTCACATGTGCTTGCCTTCGTTTGCTCTTCGTTGGATTTTCGCTTTGTACGCGGCTTAAGGCTAGTCAGATATTTATATTTATGAAAACTGCGTGAAAACAGCAAATTTTGAGAGTCTAGGACATTCGCGTTTTAGTAGTTTGGAGGTCCAACAGTATGGGCACACCCAAATATTTCGGAAAGTAAAGTTGAAAAAATTTAAGGACACAAGTTTCAGAAATCAAGAGGCGCGTCTAATGGTGACATAAGATTTGTCGTTGGAGGTCATGTTAAGGGCAAGATGTTCTTTTCAAATAGGAACCCCCATTTTTTATTGCAAAAATAAAAAAAAATCCTTTTAAACAGTATAAACATCACAGGTGCTGAAACTACAATCTACAGGTCACTTCAAGGTCAACTGTTGCTCTTTTGTGGGATGTTGAGAAGCAACTATTAGTTGGAAAAGGAGCAGGATCGTCGATACAAAAAACTGAGGACACTTAGCGACACATCTGATGGCGACTTTTATTCCGATCTTGGCTATCACCTTGAGGGTTAATTTAAAGTCAAATTGATTTTTTTAAATTCTAACTCTCAATTTTCATCTCAGTGCTGATAATGGAATGAATTTTATACTCAAACGTTTCATTAACCGAGGTCAAATAACCTATTTTCGAGGATTAGACTGAAGCGATGGATACTCTTTGCAAGTGAAGATAGACATGTTCTACTGATTCTTCAAGATATTGAGATGAGATGGCCAGTAAAGTCAATACAGGCTAATTAAAGGCAAGACAGACTGGGGAAGCCCAGTGAAGGTTTCAAAAAGGAATTTTTTTTTTTTCCAAAGCCTCTAACTTATTAACGAGTACTAACGGTTATCAATACCTATTCTATTCCAATGTTGTGATATGGAAACTCTTAACTCATAGCCTTTACACGTTTCTCATTACTCACATTGCCGTCACGATAGAACTAACAACCCTTTTAGTACCAAGACAAAGGAGCAATAGAATTTTGACAGGGCACGTACAAAAGAATTAAGTACTCATTCTAAAAATCGTAGATATCTTGCGGATATACAGGGTGTTTCAGTTTATTGTTGCATAACTTTAAGATTCGATACAACTTTTAAAATTAATGCATAAAGTCTATATAAACATGGGTCGAAAAATGTGTGGCCTCCGAAATACAGGGTGTTTAAATTTACTTTCTAAATTAGTTTTTTTTAAATATTTCGAACAATATTTGATGTATAACAGTGAAAATTGGTACACAAGGGTTTTTTGGTAGGACAAAACGAACCATGGGCATAGTTTTACTGTAGCCGCTAGAGGGCGCTCTATACTGTACCTGTAGTGTATTCAAATGACCGAAAAGATTTTCTCAGTACAATTTTTTGCTTTTTGAATAAAAAAACTGATTCTTCGCACTTTTCTGCATAAAAAAGCTCTCCTGTGAGTTTTCGTTATAGTTAGCCGTTTTTGAGATATTTCGATTTTTAAGGTTCGGTTAATTATTTATGGGAAAATAATATTTTTTTTTTACATTTTCGATTTGGGCATTACAAGTAATTAAGATAGTCGTTTAGAGTGTGTTTTTAAACACAGCAATAATTCCTAACTCCAAATAAACAAAAAAAAACAGAATATTAATTTGTTTAATTTTCCAATATTATTTTTAACAAATTAAATTAATTATTTACAACTAAAATGCTATTGGATAGTTGGGACAAACATACAAAATCTAAAGTAGTCGCTCGAAATGTGAACCCAATTGTTCAATACACAATTCACATCTACGAATGATCGAACCTCGTATAGCATTATTCAAATAAGGCCTTATTTCATCACATGCATTCCTGATTCTGTCTATTAGCATATCTCTTGTGGTTACGGGAGTCTGATACACTTTTTCTTTTAGAAATCCCCACACAAAGAAATCTAATGGATTTAGGTCAGGCGACTGGTCCTCCACGGCCGATCCATCCTTCTGGATAATTTTCATCCAGCCAGTTTCTAACTATTCTCGAATAATGAGCTGGACAAGCATGAAGCTGGAACCAGGCCAATCTTCTTAAATCTGACATAACATCATCCCACATATTTGCATGTTCAGCCTTTAAAAATTCCAAGAAGGTCGCAGTATTTAACCTTGCAGGGAAAAGGTAGGGTCCAAATAGTCGATTACAGTAGATACCAATTCACACGTTCACACTAAATTCATGCTGAAAATTTCTTTCCCGACCTGCATGCGGATTTTCATGCGACCAAATATGTTGATTATGAAAACGAAGCATGACTCATCGGTCCATAAATACTCCCTATTATTATCAGTTCTATCAAGAATTTACTGACAAAATGTGATTCTTCGTTCTCCGTCCCCTGGCTGTAGTCCACAGGTTGCAAATGGTAAGGAGTCTATGGTCATTTCTAAGAACACGGTGAACATGGCTTGCTGAAATTCCCAAGGCACCAGAAACTCTCCTAACACTTGTGATCGGATCTCTATCAAACTCACGGAGAATCATACGGGTAAATCTGCGCTGACGAAGATTTATGTTCTGATCTCTTTGGAGATTTCTAAAACCATTTTCAATTATTTGGCGATGCACTCTTACAAATACTGAGCGAGTTGGATATCGTCTGTTTGGAAATCTTCGTGCGTATTGTCTGGCTGCTTATGCTGCGTTTCCATTTACAAAGCCATACACAAAATGAATATCCGCTAATTCTTGATTGGAGAATAAAAATGCCATTTTTATAAAACTTACAAAAAAAACAGGTAAAAGAAACTAAATTTTGTGCATTCACAATTGCAAAAAAACGTTTCAGGTTTCAACAGACAAACAAAACTAACTGTCAACTAATTGACGTTTAACCTTATTCTTCTTTCAATTTCAAAAATATTTGCAGGCACAGCCTACTTCTAAAAATTATCGAGATACTGACTTTTTAACTTTATTTTATCAAAAATAATAAAAAATGCATCGAACCTTAAAAATCGAAATATCTCAAAAACGGCTAACTATAACGAAAACTCACAAGAGAGCTTTTTTATGTTGAAAAGTGCGAATAATCAGCTTTTCTATTCAAAGAGCAAAACATTGTACTAAGAAAAAACTTTCGGTCATTTTAATACACTACAGGTACAGTAGAGAGCGCCCTCTAGCGGCTACAGTAAAACTATGCCCATGTTTCGTTTTGTCGTATCAAAAAACCCTTGTATACCAATTTTCATCATTATACATCAAATATTGTTCGAAATATTTAAAAAAACTATTTTAGAAAGTAAATTTAAACACACTGTATTTCGGAAGCCACGCTTTTTTCGACCCATGTTTATATAGACTTTATGAATTAATTTTAAAAGTTCTATCGAATCTTAAAGTTATGCAACAATAAACTGAAACACCCTGTATACTTCAAGGGTTGTCAAGCTTGACAATTTTCAATACTATAATTAATTTAATAAAACGAAACATAACTGATGATACAAACTTGAAATAACCTCTAGGTGTGATTTTACTTGCGTTATTTCAACCTTTGAACATGTATTTGTTCTCCATTTTCAGCCCCGGGATCAAAATTGAGGGTTACCGTACAAAAAAATCAATATGACCTTGATTTGACCTCCTAGGTCCCATTCAAGGTCAGAACTGAGGTCACCATCAGCTGTGCCCTGCAATTTTCTCAATGAAACTTCTTCTAATATTCCTCTTTTTCCCAACATTCCATGAGTGAGCAACAATTTAATTTGAAATAACCTCTAGATGTAATTTTAGCCTCCATGGTATTTATACAGTTTCTTTCTGTTTCTGCGATAAAAAATGGGGATTTCTATTTGAAAAATCAACTTGTCCTTGAGATGACCTTCAAGGTGAACGTCAACTCACTTTCCGAGATATTTGGGTATATCCATACTGCATGTCGCTCTCATAGTTATGAATATATCACGGTGTGGCTCTGTTTTGTCATTTTAACTACTTTTTGATCACCTAGCTACAATTCAAATGTCAACTTGAGCTACTTGACTCCAATGTAAGGCTTTCAACTCTTTTCGTGGGTTCGGCCAATTTTATGCGTATCTACGTCTTCTAACGCAGCGTCTACTGGCAGAGCTTTTCCTTTGTCGGTACGTAAAATATCTCTTCCAGGAAAGTAGTCAGTGAAGTAGACAATAACGCATGTTGCTTGTACTGTGGAATTTCCGATCTCTATTACTCTGTATATCGAAAAACCATTTCTTTTACTAAGCCTTTGTATCTGGAAATGTAAAGACAACCCCCTTCCCTCATGCACATAAGTTATGCGGGTCTATCTGAAGTTGTGTATCGTACAAGAGAGAATTTAAGGTAAACTTACCGCTTGAGAGATACCCTTTCCTCTGAACGTAGTGTCGTTTAGCTGCACAGAAAAGCTGAATTTCCCGGAGGGGAATACTTTATCCTGGGTGAATTTCAATCCTCAAAACAAGATAAAAGGAATATTTATTGATACTGTATATCACCATGTTTCGCATGTGGGGTATAAAGTTTACTTCGGTCCGTGAACGTCCCATCACGTCTGGGATGTTTCGGAGGAGAAATAACTCTGTGACCTTTAGTGATTTGATTAAAATTGATGGCGGCCACTGTAAAGGGGAGAAAGGTGTGTGTAACGGGGACTTGACATTTCTGCACTGAGAAGGACTTGGTAAAAGGTTCCACTAGAGATAAACGCTAGAGTTTAAAACAATGACGAAGTTCCGGGTGGGTTTTCGTGTTCTTATGGAGGGTTGTACTCGGGACGATGAACGAGGGTGATGTATTTGGTACAATTGAAGAAATTACTTCCTTTTTTCGAATCGAGAATGCCTACCAACAGGCGGGTCTAGACTATGTGCCATCTCAAAATTTGGAATAATGGCTTCGCCCAATGTCAGCATGTTATGGGTCCTTTCACGCTACTATAGTAACACACTGTATAGGAATGTCAAAAAGAAAAGGAAAAGCAGACAAAGTGACACCTGGAGGGCAGATAAATAAGCTATATTGTCAAAGTCATTGTACTGGAGAAGGTCAACTTGGTGACCGAAACGTTTACAATAAAGTAGATCTTTTCTACACATCTGGTTTCGATAAGCCAGAGAAATAAGGGGAACAAAACATTTGTTTTTACACTTGTGATAAAAATTGTTGGTATGCATAACACATAAGAATAGCTTCTTGAAAACTACTGAAGACGTATACAATACATATAAAACTATAATTGGTAAAAATAAAATAAAATATAATATAAAGGTGTAGTAGGCCAGATCACACACATAGGGGGGTCGCGATAAACTCATTCAAGGAATAAAAAGGATGTTTAACTAATTCTTGCCAAAGTGTATTTTTAAAATGCTTTAAAGTAATATTCTTAGTAGTGTTTTTTAGCTTGTTATAACATCAAGTGAGTTTCTATCTGAGATCTTTAGCCTGTGAGCGCTAGGTTGAAGTAGATTGGAATGCCTGGTGTTATATCCATGAATATCCGAGTGCATTGAGAATTTATGCTTTAGGCATTGAATAAATTGTGAGCATATTTAATTTTATAAAGAGTGGCCTACAGTGGTCACGATAACCAGCTCCCGCAAGAACTCTAATTGCTTTTTTTTGTAATATGAAGACTTTATTTATATGGGTAGAATTTCCCCAGATTAATAAGCCATATTGGATGTGAGAGACGATGAGGGACTAATAAACACTAACAAGTCATTCATTACTAAGGCAAGTTTTTAGTCTGCGTAGTAAGAATATGTTTGTGGCTAATTTGCTACATATTGTTTCAATGTGCTTTGTCCATTTTAGTGAGCTATCAATTGTTATGCCAAGCAATTTTACACATTTGTTTCCTGCGAGAGAAGAGTTACTAGTTACTACTAGCCTGTTACTTTTGTCTGAGTTTAGGCATAAGCTATTCTGTTAAACCAGTTGTTTACCTTTTCTTCAAGCTGTTTAGATAAGCTTTGTAATATATGAAGGTTTTTGTGACTCTTTATGAGGGTGGTGTCATCTGCGTACAATACACAAATATCTAGTAATAAGTAGTAATAAAGATCATTAATGTAAAGGAAAAAAAGTATTGGTCCAAGTATGGATCCCTGAGGGACACCATACTTTACACCTTTAATTTCTGAATGTTTATTATTACTACTAACAAGCTGAGATCTTCCAGTCAGATATGATCTAAAAAAGCACAGAGACACTCCACGAAAACCATAATAATGCTCCATTTTACACAGCAGCTTCTCATGACCCATACAGTCAAAGGCCTTGCTAAGGTCACAAAGGGTACACTTCTTCCCCCTTCAAGGCCCTGGACTATGTGATGAATAAGTTCCGCTACTGCATTTATGGTTGACCGACCTGGCTGAAAACCAAATTTGTTTTGGATTAATGATGTTATTTATTTTTAAAAATTTTAAAAGGCGGTGCTTTAAAATTATTTATTATTTATATTATTTTTGCCAAAGATAGGAATTATGGAAATGGGTCTAAAATTGTTTACATCAGATAGGTCACCTTTTTTAAAAACTGGTACTACCTTACTAATCCTAAAAACATCAGGGAATATTCTCTGAGAAAGACAGGAGTTATAGAAATGAGCAAGTGGTGTGGCAAGAGTCTTTGCACAGTGTTTTATTACTTTGCTGTTTAGGTCATAAATATCAAGAGATTGCTTACTTTTTAATTCATTAATAGCATTCAAAACATCTAGATATGTAACAGGCTTCAGAAAAAAGGTTTTATTACACTTATTAAAATTTATGGTATTTAGCTCATTAATATTAAGATTAGGTAAGCTTTTTATTATATTTTGGCTGCGGTTACAAAAAAGTCGTTAAACATGTCTGATGTGATATCAGTTCATGTCATTGGTTTGGATTTATTTCTTTCAAAATTTACTAGCCTCCAACAGTCCCTACTTTTATTTTCCGATGAATGAATAAAATTATTATATGCACTATATTTAGCATGTCTAATTTTTTGTCTGTATTGTCTCTGAATGGTTTTAAAGGCATTTTTTGACTGTTCGTCTTTTTGATGCTCCGATATTGTTTTTAGAACCTGAAGAGAGGACCTAGCAGTCTTAAGTTCACTATTAAACCATTTTACTGTCTCTAAAATGTTGCTTTTGCTTTTGTAATTAAGCTTTAAGTTCATTTATTGATTCTACGAGAAAAGAAAAGAGACTAATCATATCATGATTGACATAATATTTTGTCCAATCTATGTTGGATAACGAGAGATTTAAATGATTTAGGCGAGCGTTTGTGATTTTCCTAGTATGAACAATATTTTCTTTTTTAATAGAATTTAAATGTACAAGCATACTTTGGGCATAGTGGTCTGAGAGACAGGGATCTGTTACAGAAACTGTATATTCAGACTCATCTAAATTTGTCTAACGGTCAGAATCGTTTCCTCAGCTCATTATCGTTATGCCGGATGCCGGATGACAAAGTGACCTTTTCGCGCGTCGAAAAGTAGCATTTCGTCGGTCAATTTTTAAAAAATCTAAACTTGGGAACGACAAGGGATAAAGGAAAAAAAAAGATGCTATCTTTGAGTCTGATGTCCGGGCTTTCTCACGCAAAAATCGTCAGGTTCGTAGCTCCTTTATCTTCGGAGGAGATCGAAAAAGAACGTCGAACGGCACGAAAATCTACCAATTTTTCAACTTTACCGGCCATTTTCGTTCGCGTTTGTTGCTTATACCGCGACAACTCTCACTCCCCCGTAAATCGCCGAGTCTCTAGTTTCCGAAACGGTATGGTTTTCCTTCCGAACGTTTCGCGAAC